CTGTGGGCGTCGGGGGGTGGCGGTCAGGGGCGCTGCTCAGCACCCTACAATGTGCATGACGCCCCCCAAGGTTGCCCAGCCCCAAGTGCTCGGGGAGGGCACTCCAGAAGGGGGAGGAGGAGGCGGAGGTGTGGGCCCATCGCACAGGGGCCTGGGACAGGCAGCGGCCTTGGGGCTCGTACTTCATTTTTCCAGGAGGATGGACCGATTGGGGCAGAGAAGCGCCATTTTAATAGGATCCCGCTCATTCCTGCGTGTCTGTGAGCGGGGCCGTTGGAGAGAGCAGGGGTCCAGGGAGGAGGCCACTGCCACCCCAGGAGGGCGGTGCAGGCAGCCTGACGGGCCTCGGGGGAGAGGGTGGCTGGCGGGGCAGGTACCTCTGAGATGGGGACGGGCTGGACGGGCCGCTGCGGTGTCAGGGGTCCCGCTCAGGGGCAGGTGTGGGCGTCACCCTCAGGTGCTCAGGAGCACCCACTCCCAGTCCTTGCGCCTGTCCTCCCGGCCCTGCCTCTGCCCACAGCCCCCTCCTCCATGCGGCTCCTCCCCAAGCTGCTCCCAGCTCCCCACAATCCCTGCCCCCCCCCCCCCCCACACACACACAGGCTGCTGTTTCCAGGGCAGCTTTACAAATGACTGCGGGGTTTTCTTTTTAAATAAATGTGCACCGTCCTAGCACATGGTCCTAGCGGCGGCTTTAACGGGAAGGCTCGTTAACTCCTGGGATAGATCAGATCCTGACAGTGAAACAGCCCGGCGACCCAGGCCTGCCCTCACCCCGGGCGCATGGTGAGAGCTCTAAGAAGCTGGTAAATGTCTAGCTACCTGACAGGTAAAAGCAGTGGCTCGGTTAACGAGGGACTCATGGCAGATGGAGCTCCTCACAGCCCGCTCTGCTGGGAGACCCAACCTCGGGGCCTCCGTTTCTTAATCTGCAAAACGGGGTGATGATGTGGACTTCAGCGGGCTCCGGTGCCGGGCACAGTCAGCACTCCGCTGATGGCGCTGGGGCTCCCACGGACGGGGTTCGCCCTGCGGGAACCTCTGACTCAGTACAGCGGGAGGGGAACGCCCACCAGGCGGGGAGGGTGCCGTGGGCCGTGCCGGGTGTGGGCCTGCACAGTGCACACCACCCCCTGCCCGGGGCGCCGGGGCCTTTGTCCCAGGAGCCACCCCCTTCGGTGGCCTCATGAACCTAAAAGTATGCCTGTAACTCGCTCTATCTTATCGGCCTCCGGCCGCTCCGCCTGAGTGCAGTACCCACTGCGGCTATTTGTGGATGTTGGGGAGCCTGCCAGGGCGCTACCAGGAAGTGAAAAGTCGCTGTTGAAGGCAGTCGCCGGTTAAAGGGCCCAAGGAAAGAGAAAAGTGCTAGAGGCCATGAAAGACGGCGTTCTCTTCGGGCCTGCGGTTACATCTTGCCGAGGGTCACTGTGGAGGGTCCTCCCAGGAGCGAAGGTGGCACAGCGGGTGCTCCATAAACGTCAGAGGACCCTTACTCCTCGCATCCACCAGGAGGCTCAGCACTCAGCCTTCCGCATTTAGAGTGGGGGGTCCTGACTATCATTTGGGGGCCCTCTTAAGAAAAAGAATGCAACACGATGAACTTTTTAAAAATGAGGTGCTGGCTGTGTAAGGAACCCGGAGGGGGCCCTGACATCCCAGCTTTAAAGGCCTCGGGGTAACCCTGCCCCCCATGTCCTTACATGACGCCTAGAGACTTATCCCACCAAACATGGGCAGGACACAGTGGGTTAAAGTTAAAACCAATTTTAGCAGTTTTACCTTGTTTGTTTTTTTAAAGCTCTATTCAATGTTTTAAAGTCACAAATTGCAAAGCCCGATTCTTCGCTAAACTTTTAAAAACGCAGCTTGCAAATCTTACCTGTCTGTGCACAAAGCCTGCAGGTTTGAACTGTCACCTTTAAGAGACCTTTTGCACTCGAGGTGTTCGGATATCCCCTGTGGGAGGGCACAGGGCACTGCTTCCCACACCCTCACAGACGGGGTGCTGGGGGCCACGCTCGGGGATCCCCAGCCAACACCTTTCTCAGGATCTGGAATGTCCCCACAACCTGGCCAGCTTCCACCCACAGTTTTTCAAACACTGAAGAGACGAATCCTCGCCCTGCCCCCACCCCAGCACAACCCCGGGCCCCCTGACAGCCCGTGGGTGTCCCGGGGACCAGAGAGGGTGAAGGCCTGGCCTGAGGCCACGCAGGAGACCTTGGCAGCGTGGGAACAGCGCTGGAGACCAGACCGCAGCCCGAGGCTCGCGACTCGTTCCTTCTGCCCTGGGCAGACAGCCGGGAAAGCCCAGGGAACCGAAAAGCTGCCCGTCTCCCCTCTCCGGGCCCTGGAGGGGGGCGATCAGGAACAGGCAAAGCAGTTCTGAGAGCCGGGGAGGAAGCCTTCCTGCAGGCCGTTTGCACAAGACGCTGTGGTCAGCCCGCCTCCTTCCTGCAGGAGCACAACCGACTCACCTCCCAGCACAGACGTGAGACCGGCGCAGGGGCTGCGTGAGCTGCAGGCCCAGGACATTGAGGGCTGGTGGTCCCAGAGGGCAGAGCAGGGAGGCCACTTCCTTACCCAAGATCTCAGCACTGGGTTCCAATCCCCGCTCCTCCACCTGAGGGGCTGCATGACCCAGGCCAGAGCACGGCCTCCTCAGCCGTCTGTGAAATGGGGGAGTCTTCCCACCACGACTTTGTGTATGTGTGTGTGTGGGGGGGGGCACAGGACTGGCACAGGCTCCAGCTGGGCAGCACATGGACACGCTCACGTAACATCTGTGAGCAGTTCCCATGTCAGGGCCCCGGTACGTTCTTTAGCTGGGCCCACCCTCTGAGGGAAACACCATCAGCCTGCTGCCTAGGCCCCTCACGGACCTCGTTGCAGGGACTCAACCACCACCCAAGACTGAACGCACTCGCCCAGGGGGCACACCGTGCAAAGCATGTGTCCATAAAAACGTAACCTGCCGGCTTCTGGAAGGGGAACTGGCTGCCACCTGCCACCTTTTTATTTTTAAAAAATGTGTTTAATGATTCAGAGAGAGGAAGGGAGAGGAGAGAGATAGAAACATCAATGATGCGAGAGAATCCTCCATCGGAATCCAACCGAGACCTCCTGGGTCGTAGGTTGATGCTCAACCATTGAGCACACTGGCCGGGCCGTCACTGCCAACCGAGACCTCCTGGGTCGTAGGTTGATGCTCAACCACTGAGCACACTGGCCGGGCCGTCACCAGCATCTTAACCAAACTCAGCACTAACCCCCGGAGGGAGGGAGTCAGAGACGGGCCTCTGACACCTGAGCCGTCCCGGCTGCACCCGCAGCGGGCAGGACCCGGCGTTTCACACATTTCACACGGCCTCCACGTGTGCCGGCGCCGGAGCCTGGGAGCTCGGTCCACCTGAGGAAGTCGGGTGCGGTGGGCGGCTGGCTAGCTCTGCACCCCCCCACCCTTATCTTCACTCCAGTTAGACGTTTCTCATCCGAAAGAAGCAGGGATGGCTCGTCCTCTCCTCAGGGAGAGCATCCTGTCCTGCAGGCGCCCGGAGAGTGGAAACAGCTGCCGCAGACGGGCACCCCAGGGGCACGGAGAGAAAGTCCCTAGCTGCCCAGACCTGCCAGCGCCCCCCCCCCACCCCCATCCCCAGCTGCCCGTCTCACCGAATGGTGGGCTGGTCTCCGCTCAGCTGCTTAAACCTCCGGCGGAGCTGCTCGATCTGGTCCGATGAGACTGCGAAGTAAGAGAAGGAAAGAAAATGAGACAGAAAGACAAAGACACGGGGCTGCTGACCTCGGAGCCACCAGAGGGAGGCTGGGGCCACTGTCCTCCCCGCCCCCTCTCCTCGTCCGTTCATTCTCAGGCCACCTCCCGCCCCTGCAAGCAGGCGAGGCAGCCAGGACAGGGTTTCCCACTCTTCCTGGTAACGCAGCTCAGGGTCCTTCGCTCTGACCCCGTAGCAATAATACAGCTGTTACTGCAGCTGCTGGGACAGGGGCCCAGGCGCTCCCTCCTCCTACAGGCCTCTGAGGTCAGACCTCCGGCTGAGAAAAGGGCTCAGTGTGGTCACATATGAAGAGAAATACATCAGACAAAGACAACTACCATGGATTTCACTTAGATGCAGAGTCTACAAAACAAAACACACAAACAAAACAGAAACAGACTCACAGAGAACAGACTGAGGGTTGCCAGAGAGGAGGGGAGCTGGGGGGCTGGTGAAAAAGGTGAAGGTATTCAATATAAATTTCCAGGTATGAAGACAGCCATGGGGAGGTGAGTACAGCACAGGGAATATAGGCAATAATATTGTAATAACTATGTATGGCAGGGGTCCTCAAACTTTTTAAACAGGGGGCCAGTTCACTGTCCCTCAGACCGTTGGAGGGCCGGACTATAGTTTAAAAAAAAACTATGAACAAATTCCTATGCACACTGCACATATCTTATTTTGAAGTAAAAAAACAAAATGGGAACAAATACAATATTTGTATTTGCATGTGGCCCACAGGCCGTAGTTTGAGGACCCCTGATGTATGGTGTCAGACTTATCAAAGTGATCACTTTCTAAGTTATATTAATGTCTAACCACTATGCTGTACACCTGAACCTAATATAATATTGCATGTAAACTGGATTAGCTATTTTTTTAATCCTTTTTTATGGCCAAGTAGTATTCCATTGTGTACATGTACCACAGCTTTTTTATCCACTCATCTACTGATGGGCACTTGGGCTGCTTCCAAATCTTGGCTATTGTGAATACCTCTGCAGTGAACATAAGGGTGCATATATTCTTTCAAATTAGTATTGTGGGTTACTTCAGATAAAATCCCAGAAGTGGAACTGCTGGGTCATCAGGCAGTTCCATCTTTAATTTATTGAGGAAACTCCATGCTGCTTTCCACAGTGGCTGCGCCCGTCCGCACTCCCACCAGCAGTGCACAAGCAGGTTCACTTCTCTCCACATCCTCGCCAGCACTTGTTTGTGGGTTTATTGATGACAGTCTGACAACTCACCCAAGTTATTGCACATCCTGTTTGTTCGTGTTCACTGCTGTATATTATTCCATGTTTGAAGAGAGGATGCTTTATTCTGCTATTGCTGGGCATTTGGACATTTTCCAGGCTAGGGCTACTCAAATCATACAGCCACAAACATCCTGTGATCTTCTGGTGAATGGAATTATTCATTTCTGTTGGGTACACACCTAGGAGCGGAATTGCTGGCCGATCCAGTATCCAAATGTCCTTGCTAACATACATGTGATATAAATGGCCACATTTACTCCAGAAAGGTGGTCCTTGCCCTCAGTGGTTACCTAACTAACCTTTTCAAGGATCAGTTTCTACATCTGTAACATGGGGATACAACCCCCTCCTAGGGTGTCCAGAGGAAGAGAGGCTAATGCGTGGAGATAGGCACCCAGGACATAGCGGGCCCTCAGGATCAGCTGACAGTCCTAATGACTGTTTTCTAGCAAACAGCAGCTCCTAGGAAGACTTGAGAATGCTGAGCTGTAGATATTTTTTTTTAATCCTCACCCGAGAAAAGTATTTTTATTGACTTTTAAAGAGAGAGGAAGGGAGAGGAGGAGAGAGAGAAGCATTGATGTGAGAGAGACATTGATTGGCTGCCTCCCATACAAGCCCCCACTGGGGATTGAACACGCAACCTATGTATGTGCCCTGACTGGGAATCAAACCCACACCTTTTGGCGCACAGGATGACACTCCAACCAACTGAACCACTCAGCTAGCACGAGCTGAGCCAGGGGCCAACGAAAATGAACAGGAAGTGGGGTTAGATGCCTCTTGAACAAGAGGAGAAAGGTGGCTAAGGGATGGGGAATGCTGAGCGGACGGTGGTGGGAGAGAGCCCATCTCCAGCTCACCCACTATTTTGGGAAGTTTTGCGTGTAGTCCCCAGGAACCAGACCTACAGACTCTGAACACCTGGATATTCTGGTCAAACAGGCAATCTGTATAGCAATTAAGGGCAGGCTTTGGGTTGGGCAGACTTGGAACCAAGTCCCAGCTCCACCACTTACCAATTGTGTACGTTTTCAAACTATAAGACAGAGGGAAAAGTAGCTTCTCATTCACAGGGTGGCTCTGAGGACGAAGCAAAAAGGTGCATGTATGTGTTTAATTCTGTGTGATTCATCACATAAGCACTCACGTGTGGCCAGAACCTCCATAAAGCCTGGATCCTACAAGGCCGACTTAGCGGTGGATAAACGGGGCCCATCAGCCAAAAATGGTGATTTTAAAAAAGTAAATCTCCTGTACTGAGGTTTTCTAAATTTTAGGTTATTGGGGAAATCGAAATACATTGTCCACAGCAGCAGTTATTAAAATTTTCTTTCATTTTCCTCCCCTTCCCTGGCCCTACCCACCAGATTCCCTGTACATTTCTCACTACAAGTCTCCCAAGGAACTGCCAGCACCAGCCTGAATCACCTTCCCCCTCCCTAATTGTCTCTTAAAATACTGATTGAATTTATTGGGGTGACAGTGGTTAACAAAATTAGACAGGTTTCAGGGGCACAATTCTACAACACATCATCTGTACACGGTACTGTGAGTTCACCACCCCCTGTACCTTCCTCCACGCTGCTGTCTGTGGCCATCACCACACTGTTGTCTGTGCCCATGAGTTTTTTTTGTTTTTGCTCAATCCATCCATCCCCAGAGCTGTCAGCCTGCTCTCTGTTATGAGTCCGTCACTGTTTTGCTTCTTAGTTCATTTTGTTCATTAGATTCCACATATGAACTGACTGGCTTATTTCACTGAGCACCATGCTCTCCAGGTCACCCATGCTGTCACAAAGGGTAAGATTTCGTTCTTTCAGAGCAGGAATAAACAAAATAGAGTCTTAAAAAACCCAATACAAAAAAATGAATGAAACCAAGAGCTGGTTCTTTGAAAAGATAAACAAGATTGAGAAACCTTTAACCAAACTCATCAGGAAAAAAGAGAGAGAGGACGCAAACAAAATCAGAAGTGAAAGAGAAATAACAACTGACACCAAAGAAACACAAAAGATTGTAAGAAAATATTACAGACAACGAGATGCTAACAAGTTGGACAACGGGGACGAAATGGGTAAATTCCTAGAAACTCACAGTCTGCCAGCACTAGGTCAGGAAGAATCAGAGAATCTGAACAGACAGATTACAACGAGTGAAACTGAAGTAATAATTCAAAAACGCCCAACAAACAAAAGTCCTGGACTGGATGGCTTCACAGGTGGATATTACTAAACATTCAAAGAAGAACTAACACATATTCTCCTCCAACTATTCCAAAAACTTCAAGAGGAGGGAAGCCCCCAAGCTCATTGTATGAGGCCAGCATTATCCTAATCCCAAAATCAGATAAAGACACTGCAAAGAAAGAAAGTTATAGGCCAATATCCCTGATGAATGTAGGCACTAAAATCCTCAACAAAATATTAGCATACTAGATTCAGCAATACAATAAAAAGATCATACACCATGATCAAGTAGGATTTATTCCGGGGATGAAAGGGTGGTACAATATCTGCAAATGAATAAACATGATACATCACACAAACAAAATGAAGGATAAAAACCACATGATCATATTAATAGATGCAGACAAAGCATTCAACAAAATCTATCACCCATTTATGATAAAAACTCTCAGCAAAGTGGGAATAGAAGGAACATACCTCAACACAATTAAGGCCACATATGACAAACCCACAGCCAACATCATACTCAATGGGCAAAAACTAAAACCATTTCCCCTAAAAACAGGAACAAGACAGGGATGTCCGCTTTCACCGCTCCTGTTCAACATAGTACTGGAAGTCCTAGTCATAGCAATCAGATAACAAGAAGAAATAAAAGCCATCCAAATTGGAAAGGAAGAAGTAAAACTGTTACAGATGACATGATACTGTATATAGAGAATCTTAAAGATTCCACCAAAAACCTATTAGAACTGATACATTAATTCAGTAAAGTAGCAGGACACAAAACAAATATCCAGAAATTAGTTGCATTTTTATATACCAATAATGAACTATCAGAAAAAGAAAGTAAGAAAATAATCTCATTCACAATTGCTTCAAAAAGAATAAAATACCCAGAAATAAATTTAACCAAGGATATAAAAGATCTGTACTTGGAAAATTAAAAGACACTGAAGAAAGAAATTGAAGAAGATACAAGTGGAAGCATATACCATATTCATGAGTAGGAAGAAACATCATTAAAATGTCTATACTACCCAAAGCAATCTGTAGATTCAATGCAATTCCTATCAAGATACCAATGACGTATTGCACAGAACTAGAACAACTATTCAAAAAATTATATATGGAGTGGGGCTAGGGGGACTGGGTGAAAAAGGTGAAGGGATAAAGAAGTACAAATTGGTAGTTACAAAACAGTCACAGGGATGTAAAGTACAGCACAGGGAATATAGTCAATAGCAGTGTAATAGCTATTATGGTGTCAGGTGGGTACTAGACTTATAGGGGTCACTTTGTAAATTATATATATATCTAATCACTGTGATGTACATCTGAAACTAACAGAAAACAATATTGACCATCAACTGCAATTGAAAAAATTTTAAAAATCTATTGTATATTTGATATGGAAATGTGTTGCACATATAGTGTCTAAAAACAGCTTGCTACAAAAGCAGCATGATGGGGAAATATATAAATATTTACAAACGTACATAAGTATTGAAA